TTAAAATATCCCTTACCAATATTCCAAAAACTATCCGTGACCTCCACCGTCTTCAGTTTAGCTCTAAAATGACAGTCAGAAATTTAAACAGCTGTACAGCTGACGGAAAAATTTCCGACACGTCGATCTCTGTAATGATCGAGATGATGACACGAGACTCGCTCTTTGACACGAGTAGATCACAAAAAAAAAAAAAAAACGACACGTTCTTCCATCTCGACGGTGTCCAGACTAGGGCCCTAGGTTTTTAACTCGCTATTTAAGCGTATATCTGAATCGCGCATGCGACTCCATTATGCTGAACATTCAAGTTCTATGGAATAATTTTCCATGAATAAATTAATAGCCTTCCATGATTTTTTAGATTCTAAGACTTATGCTGATCTTAAAACTCATATAGGTAAAGATGTTTTGAGAATTGTAAAAACATTTCGCAGAAGTGAAGGTAATTAAGATCCAGCTATTATTATTCGCAATTTCCACAGGAGTACTGAACTGATCTATGACGGCTATTGGCATCTTCATCCTCATTTCTAAAATGTTTTTAAATCTTGCTTCCCAGTCTTCATGATTCTAAAGTGAACCATCCGGTCCATTGCGTCTCATATATCACCCTCGTCACGAATTATTAGGTAAGAGAATAAAAATCGCACAGCTCATTAAAATTTATGTTCAATTTAAATTCCTTCAAAATATTAGCATTTGTAAAACTGTTATTACTTTGTGTATAGATCTCGTAAGTCCATATACATTTCATCAGGGAATACGCTTGATCTACTTTCTAATTATAATTTTAATTCATGAACACTGTTTCATGTATCATGCTATTTAAATGGAAGTTTTGTTGAGTACTGTGGAAGTCTAGAGCATAGGAAATGTAAAACACCGTTCAAGAACATCAATATTTATTTGCATATTTTGGATATAGAATAATACAAATAGAAAATCAGCCATTGTTCTTTTTCTTGACGGAGGCTTACTGTTCTGGCGAAAAGAAAATTTCATGCGAGAAGTTTCACAGGTAGCGCTTCATTAAAGCGAATGATGTCGCCACACAACCCCTTCCCAGTGATAGCCCTCTTCCTCGTAATCTTTCAGGTATGCAGGAAATATCACCATTCGTCCAGCTTTTGTGTTTCTAGGATGAATATCTTTGGAAGAATTGTTGTCTCCAGGAAGTGGGGGTGGGATTTTGGAGTTATCAGCTTCATGCGTCTGGAGATTTGTTGTTATTTCATCTTTGAAACCGAAATATGGTTTCAGTCTATCTATCGATATCCTTTTAATTTTACATGAAACTTACACATCGAAAAATTTATCAAAACGTTTTTAAACTAAATATGGTCCGAGATAGGGTGGTTGAAGAGAAAAGGAAATGATGTTATTATAGATGAATACGTGTGAACAATTTGCTAAGTCCTTGTGCACGAAATTTGTTTTTCCGTGGCTGGTTGTTGGTTTTAGGTTTTGGATAATTTTTGTATAAAATCTGAATGCGTAACAGTAGGGTCATAACTGAAAAGGTCTCCAGGCAAACCGATCTAAATATCCTATAAAATTTATCTAAATTTAAATTGCAGTCATCATGAATATCAGAAGCAGAAAAACCATCCAAATGGCTAATCATTGTCTCAAGTTTAGACCATTTATCACATAGCTTTTCTTTCCAAATATCCATTTGAACTTTTCAATGGGAATTTCATTTTCATTGAAAAAAACTCTTACATTTAAATCTTCCAATATTTTTAAAGATACAAGTACTTTTGGACAGTTTAAAAATTGTAATTTCGATAGCCAAAAGATCTTACCTTTGGTTAATGAATATCCATGAAGACGGAAGATCTATTTTTTTTTTTTTTTTTTTTTTTTTTGCAAAACCATTTATTAGGTCTTCAAAATCGCTAATAATATCATTCTTTTTTCACTGTTCAAATTGTTTATCACAACGAATATCAATTTCTGCTTCTCTTTCTTCCGGTGTTTTTCTTTTTGTGGGAAGTTTCTTCGATAAATAAGATGGCTGGTTTTGAAAAATCGTTGGATAAGCATCTTTTTTTAAAGCTGGAATTGTTCTAGGAACTACTAATACCGTCCCATCATCACGAACAGCTTTATCTTCTCGAACGATAAATTCTTCTTCGAAATGCTTAATGCATACACTACTGTGTTTGCCAGCTACAAAATCTTTGCGATTAATATTTTTATCCATTTCTGAGAGAGTACAGGATCCGAAGGAAATTTGAAAGTGGACACATGTTCAGTAGTGCCTATCGTAATTTGATCGGCATTTAGGTACACTACACTTTTCTTGGCATTCTAAAACACACCTTCGCTTTCTAGAACACACATAAATCGAATTCACAGTATAATATTTTACTTTCCGGTAAAATACAAAATTTTTCAGAAGAAAAAACACATGTAAACAATTATCTCACTAGCACTAGTCCTACGGCGAAGCGAGCTCAACTTACAAAATTGAAAGCCTAAGATTATGACGTCAGATCATGTGATCATCAGCTTGGAGCCAACCATTGAAGATGGTGTCGGGCGACTTGGATGTTACTTGGAAGTTGGTGAGCTCTTCAATTTATGCTTTCATTTTGTATTTCTAAGTCCATTTGAATTGTGACTTTATGTGTTTCATATAATTTAAGTGTTACTTCATCTAGTGTGACTTAGTATTTTTGATTTTGAGCGAAACTGGTAAAATAATTAACTTTTTTTTTGTGCTGCGCGATGCTAAGCCTAATTAGGCTTAGTAAGTGCAACATCATTTCCGAGCTGTAATTTGTTCTTTTTGGTCATCCTGATTCTAAGTTGAGAGTCCGTCTCACGCGCTATAATTGTTTTTTTACGAAGACGATATGGAAACGGTAAAGGATACGCACCTTAAGGATCTGGACTTACTTCTTACCCTGGAAAAAGAAATTGCAAATTATTCGGCGAATTTCGTCGACGGCAAACCGAATAGTGAGCAACTAGCTGTGCTAAACAATCTGAGGCAACAGTATCATAAAACCCTTAATGATACTTATAACACTCCCGAAAGCCTTGTAAAACAAGTCGAAAAAATAGCCATTTCACAAAACACTAAAACCAAAGATGAATGGAAACAAGTTCCCAGAAAACGCACACGAAATAACAGTAACTCCTCGGTTGAAGAGGATTTACCCCCCCTTAAAAACTCAATCAAAATTTGACTCTCTTCCTAGCGAAGAAAACTTAGATAATATGGAACAAGACACTGAAATTGATACTTCTGCGAGTTACACCACGACTACTGCAATTAACGACCACGACTACTGTATCACAGGATTTAAACAACCACGTAAATATGCTGGCAAAATTCCACCACTTATTATCACAGACCCTAAAATAAATTGGAAAGAATTACGTAAAGAAATAAAAGAAGATTTAGGCATCGAAAAAGTTGAAGGAAAAATAGAAGGCGAAAACTTCAGGATTAAGCTGTTTTCTGCCGACGACTACCGCAAAGTTCAGGATAGGCTTGATTCTCGAAAGATTCCCTATCACACATTTTTACTGAACTCTGACAAAATGGTTAGAAGCATAATAAAAGGGTTATCAAATGACACAGACATAAAAGAAATTGAAGATGATCTTAAATCTCAAAACATTCCAGTACTAAAATGCAAACAAATACAGCGCATGCGCGATGGCATAGCTGTGAACCTACCCGTTTTTTATGTTGAAACTCCACGCACTGAAGCTGGAAAATTAATTAATCATGTACGTCACATTACTGATATTAGAGTAAAAGTGGTTTCGTACAAAAGCAGGCCCGGACCGACGCAGTGTTTCAACTGCCAACGGTACGGGCATACTCAACGTGCATGTAAAAATATGCCCCGGTGTCTCAGATGCGCCGAGAATCACAAATCCTTCCAGTGCCCTCAAAAAGGTAAAGAATTTCCTGCGAAATGTGTCCTCTGTGGAGGAGGACATGCATCCTGTAGTAAGGAATGCCCCAAAAGACCAGGAAATACAGCTATTGAAAAAATTAATGAAGAAGAAACACCAAAAAGTTCCCAAAATAAGCAAGATCAACAGACTCCGGCTACTCTCAGCCAATCACGTAATTTGGGCACTGCCCCGTACAACCAATCATATGCGGCGATTACCAAGAGCAACCCGAAGACGGTTAACGACAGGAAATCCCTCAAGAATAATAAGAAATCTGTAAATAACGATAAAGAAGATCAATCCTCCAAAAATAAACGAAAATCAGTAAACACAGACACAGAAGAACAATCCTTTGAAGAATTCACCGGGTTCATTACTGAAATTTACCAAATTTACCAGCAATACAAGCAGGTTTCTAACCCCGACTCCAGGCTCAAGACTTCAATGACAGCACTAAAGATATTCATCCAGAACGCCACTGCGGTAAAATATGGGGTTACGGAGATAACAGATTGAAGATCGCAGCTTACTTCCCGCTTCCTCTTTCCAGCTGTTACCAACGGATGACAACTACAAAGTGATATTTTCCATCATGTAAATACAGGCCTCTTTTTCGCAGTATGTTCTATTTTTTCAAAAGGAGCATTTTAAGATCGCTCTGCCCTCCTCTCATTTGTTATCGCAATTTGTCTAGTGATCACACTTAGAAGGGATTAGGAGATTTTAGCAAATAAAAGATTTGACCATCTTTCGTAGCAATCGTTACTGTGCTTATGAACAAGTACCTTGTTATGAGGTGAGCCAGGAGGAAAGAAAAAGGGAATTTGTAATGTGTGCTTTAAAATATCAGATACCAGAAAGCGCGATTCACCTTATTTCTGAGAATGAGAACTTGTATTAATGTTAGAAATATATAGCACATGGAAATCGATCTACAATAAACGCATAGTAAAAAAAATTCTCTATTTCGTATTGATTCGAATGAGCATATAACTTAAAAAGAAAATCGTCAATGGAAAAAAGTTAACTTTGGAAAATGGCAACACAGCTGGCTTGCGGAGATAAAAAAAAAAATTTGCAGACGGAGTAGTCGGTTCGATGTGGTGTACTTAAGTTCGATGTCTTTGAGCTGTTGACTTTGATAAATTTGTTTCTGTGTTCCTTTAATTCAAAGAATTATGTTAAATAGTTACTTGATCATTTAGATATCACACGTAAAGCTACGAGATTTGAAATAAAATTCAGACACGTGGAAAAGGTTACATTAATTTTTTTGTAAAGCATTGAATTTAGAACACTTGCATTTCTCATTTTACAAATACTAAGGTAATAATTTTTTATGATATATTATTATTTATCATTGTTAGTTATTTTTGGGTCATTCCAGTAATTGATTGGGGAACTAAAACATAATTATTATTTTTGTTTTGAACAATAGTTCTTTTCTGTTGTAATCATTATAGTTTATTTATTCTCAAGTCTTACTAATCATTTGAAACCCCCCCCTCTCTCTTTTTTTTTTTTTGGTCTAGGTAAATTTTAGAAATTAGCTGTATTATTCATTTGGCAAAGTGTCAAGAATGGCCGAGTGGTTAAGACCATTCACTGGGTACTGACAGGGCATCCCGTGATCGATACCCGGCGAGTGAACTTCCAGATGATGCAATAGAGAATTTGTAATGTGTAACCTATTTAATAATAAGCAGCTGATAAAATGCAATAGAGAATTTGTAATGCGTAACCTGTTTAATAATTAGCAACTGATAAACGTGATCTTATTTTTAGACTTTGTTTATATTAAAATGTTAAGCATTATTAAGATTAATTATTAAACTGTTGAGAATTAATAGGATAAATGCCCAAAAGCTGCATCTTAGACTACATAAAGAGAATTCATATGAAATTGCAAATACCAATTTACCAGAAATAGAATGTAAGCAAAACCTTCTCTTTTCCGTCCGAAATATGCAATGTGTATAAAATGTAATTGTATCTCTTGTCAGTGATACATAAAAATTAAGTTGCAGACTGATAAGTGACTACATTTTATTGCATGAGGATTAGTGGTATAAAAAATTAGACTAAAAAATATTAAAAATAAAATATTAAGTATGAATAATTCATATATGATTTTGTGAGAAGTGAAGTTCATTACAAAGCTATTTGAATATTACAAAGAATGCAAGGGTTGTATGCCAAAAGGAAGAGATGCCTTTTTAAAAGATTTTTCTTAGAAAAAGTGATGTGCATTTATGCTACACATGGGAAAAATGAACTATGCAGCCAGCCTTTTCACCTCGATTTGAACCCTGGGCAAACTACTTCTATTCACTGGTTTTAAACCCATGACCATGGGTGAGGCTCATTATAATACAAATATATTAAATAAACAGAATATTTACATCAACCATTTAATTTATGCCAAAACATAAGCCATGCCATTTAATCTTTAAACTTCAGAATTTAATGCACTCAAACTCTCTTTAGTTAACTTGGTTTGTAATGAATAAAGTCTGATTCCGCCCCATTTCCTATGCACTTAGCATGGGGTAGCTGAGATTCAAGGCAGGGTGGTACAAACATCCTTAAACTAACAAAGGATTCAAATGCTCCGAGTAGTGGCCGAGTGGATAAAAGTGTTGTGCACCAGTAAGTTGAAGATAACGAATTCCGGCGAAGTGGTTGGTTCCATGACCATTTTCTTGTTTTACTCATGCATAATATGAATAAGGATGGGCATTCCCTAGAAATTGCTCCATAAAAGCATGTCTTCTCATAAGCTAATGTCCCCATTGCGTACTTTGCTGTAAGCTTAATAAACTTAGGAAACCATATTTCGAAATTTGAGATGCTATATATATAATTTTTTTTAGAAATAAATTATTTTATTATTATTGTTATTGTGGTGGAGGTGCTATGTAGGTCTTTCTCTGATTCAGAATAAATAATATTTGTTTTATTTTTAATAGTAATATATACTATTTTTTAATAAATCAAAACACAGTATTCATTTTTAATCAAAATAATAATTTTTAACCCTTCTAAATTATTTTGATGAAGTAGCCCTATATTTCTCTGAAGCATGAATATTTCGTAGAACATCTTGTTCTTTTTTGATCTTAAGCAATTTTCAACAAAATTTATTTTGGTGATTAGTGTACATTTCAAAGTGTCCACTTTAAGTTGTAGCTTATCACTAGTCCAAAAACTGTTCATAATGCTAAATACTCGCTCAGTTGCAGCATTAGGAAGACAGAAAAAAAGCTGTGGCAATTTTAAAACATTTGAGCAAGGAATCTGGTTCTCATTACAATATTCAGTTATTTCCATTCACTTCTGAACGGGGCACATCTTATTTTTTTACCATTGCAATTTTTTTCTTCCGTGATGTGTTGTTTAAGGTAAACATAGTCTTCATATTTATCAATTTCTAATAATTTATGATTTGCTATCATTTTATTAATAACAAAAAGGCTGTTTCACCTTGATTCTAAGAAGGGATTTCATTTTGTATGATCGAGCTGTACGTTTCCATCTCTGGAAATACTTTCTTTGTCCGTTTTATCAAATAAGTAAGAGGAGTCTTATAAAATACAATAGCTTCTCAAAATTCCATAACTTCATATTGTGACAGGGCTTCATTCTCTTCAAGTTTTTCTAAAGTTTTTTAACATTTATTGAAATAAATTTATCATCTGTTTTGCTCAATATTGAAGCTGTCGGAATGTCCGTTGAAGCAATTGCATCAAATACAGGCACAGCTTGATTTTCAGATGTAATAACTTTATGGAATATTGAAACCTGAATGCTAATAAAATGTAGGGAACCTTTTACCACTGGATTTTCAAATAATTTTAAAATAAACACTAGGACACTGTTCGTGAAATTGAAAATAAGCCTTCAGTGGTAAAAGCATTTAGAGTATCTTTTCAGTGGCGGGAAGTAATGCTAACCATCATGTATACGAATTCCCTAGTATCATTGAAAAAGCAGTTTCTAGGAAGTTGACGAAATTTTTCATTGTTTCTGCTCTGACAGTATAAGTATATCTTGGAAATAATCATTTCTGTATCAGCTCGTAAAACATCAGCTGATATTCTTATAATGTTATGGTTAATATGCGCTGCACATCCGACTCCAGTTAAACCATGGTTAAGGTTTCGTTTCAGTTTAACAAAAGCATTATTTTCCCCATGTCTATCAGCTCTTCTAAAGTTAAATTTTGATTAAAGTTAAATTTAAAGTAAAATTATTGGCACAAAGACCAATAATTTTTTTTTTTTTTAAACTTATTTTCTTCAAGACGGGCAATTAAATAGTTGCTGGCGGTATCAAGTGTTTCACCAGGTAAGGATTCTAAAATTTTTACTCTGACTACATAATTTGGTACTTTCCGTTTCTGCGGCGCAAATCTCGCCAAGCAGACTTTTTTGGCGAAAACATACAGTACACACGTAAAAAATAGTTAAAAAATGTTAGTTCTAAGAATTCTTTTAAAAAAAAGAAGGCATAAACATTTAAATATCGCTTAAAATTTTATAAAAAGCCAATAAATAAAGACAATAAATTTGTAAAAAGACGTTAATTTAAGAATTTACTATGCTTTCATGGTTCAACATCCTGATTCGCCGATTCATATCACGTGACCCCAAGCGATCTCATCTCACGTAAACTACTCTGCAAATTTCTAATGCTTTCAGTAATTATCTACATTAATTTCAAGTTAAATCTTAGTTTGGAACACAAGTTTAAATGCAAGAATTATTTCAATTCGTACGAATAGCTTACTCAGAAATTACGTAAAACTGTAGTGCTTTACTTGCTGATGCATTCTCATTAGAATGGATGAATTTAATCCTTGACTTTACCTTTTCTATATTTTCGGCTTCAGGTAAGCGCTGTGATTGCATCCTAATTGACTTAATTGCCGAAAATGGCCTTAGACATAAAACTGAAATATCTGATAAAAATTCTATGTAATGATATGCCAGTATTGAAAGAAACAATCAATCTGATAAGAAAAGGCTGCGACTTGTTTTGAAAATGAGGCGTAAAAGGTTACCAGCGAGAATATTCCGTTTGGCATCGGTTGTACCATTATTGGCAACTTTATCGCTTGCGCCGGCAAAACGGAAATGTACCCATAATTCCAATCTAATAAATCTAACAATTATTGGAAAAAGTTTTATTTTTTTGTGACTGGACACATCAGTTAAGATTGAAACAAAAGTTTTCCAAATCATTATGCAAAGCTCTTAGAGTACAAGGCGTGAAAACATTTAGTATTATTGCTTTGCGCGCATGTAAATTTAGGCTCAGCAGCTTGGACATACTGTCTTTAAACCTAAAACTATGGTTGTGGCAAATAGTGCGGTATGCAAAAGTACCTTGTACTGCAGCTAATTCTTCTTCCTTTATCATCCCTTTTCGCCTATTTGAAGAAATTCTTTAATGATGAACTATACGCAGCAGCACAGTTTGACATTTTATGTTTATATAAATTTTAATATTTGTACGTTCACCATGGCTAATTCTGAAGAACATGTATTACTTCGTACGTCAGAATTGCTTACAGCTTTTTTTAACGAAAGAGTATTCCTTCTTTAGGTGTTCATTAAATGTACACGTTTTTTTATTTATTGCTAAAAAAATCAATACAGTACAAAGTTCAAGATCTGGACTTGTCAGGACGTCCACAATTTTGGATATTAGATCATCAGTTTAAATCTAATAAGATGGCATGTGAAAAAATTTAAAATTAAAAATATGAAATCCTGACTTATGAAATAATGACTCATTTATGATCAAAAACATAAATGCTTCAAAATTACAAAAAAAGAAAAAAAAAAAAAAAAAAACTAATACTTATTTGTTTATTTTATTAAACATTTCTTTCAATGTAAGATGTTTAAGTTGCTTCGTTTTTTGTGCTAATAGTTTTTCTTTAATTCTCTAGACAGACATAATTTCTTGTTCAGTTGCATTGTTTAAGTGCTGTAATTGCTGTGTCGAGAATTCTGATTAAGTTGCCAATCGAAATTGTTTCGCTTTCAGTGAATTATCTCGCTTTCTTCACTATTGGTAGCGGTATTTTCTTGGTCTAAAACCATACGACAGATTTTGCCATCCATTAATGGATTGATGACTGAGGAGCATTGTCATCACAATGAAAATCTTCTATATCATCATCATTTATTACCATATCATGAGATTGGTGACTAAAGACAAGTTGTTCTGCTAAATTTTACCTTGCTTCTATGGCGCTCCGAGACATTTAAGCCTGACTTGTATTAGTTTAGTTATTTATTATATTTATCTGTATTGCACATGCTTATCTGAGTACTGAATAAATAAATTGCCACATATACATATATATATATATTTATTGAGGGTCGGCACTAAATATCTTACCTCCGTGTGCAGTCTTTGTAGGTTCCAAATTCTGTTACCAAGTGCCTCCCTTTGTCTTCCCTAAATTCTCCTGCCATATAAGCCATGGCACTGGTTTTGGGTTTATGTGAATAACAAATCAGTTATTCTTAATTCAAATGGCAATAATGTAATCTTTTGGCCTATGAGTGTCATTAAAAAAATTATTTTTAGCATATGGAAACAAATTTTTGTCAAATTTTTCCTCGTCAATATTTCTTAGCACATGTACCTTAAATCTGTAATTATCACCAAGCATAATGTCAACACAAAAGGTTATCATACTCTTTATTATTCAATTAATAACATAAAAAAATTGTTTAGGCATCGCTACATGAGTCATTACTCAAGTTGTCATGTGTTCATAAACATGCTGTGATGAAAGCAAAATGTAATAAATAATGATTTGCCAGGTAGGGTGTCAGGGATATAAAATATTAGTATATGTAAAATCAATGATTTATCTATGTAGAATGTTTCGGTTTGAAATGTATACCAAGTATATATGGATTAGAGCCAAATTCTCGGTCATACAAAATTTATGCTAGAATTTATTTGTTAAATTCCAGTTACATTGGCCTTTAGGTCATTAAACTCCTTCCTTGCCAATAGCGCTGAAATCTACAAGAAAAATTTGTCAGGGTTTCACGCTTGTCCAAATGTTCCGCTGTCATTGGCCGTCCACTATTACATAAAACACACAATGGCAAATCAGCTACTCCAATGCGAAATAAATGATTCTGTAGACAATCATGTTCTGTCAATAGTCTAAAAGATGCAACTGCAACTGTTTACAGGTGCTCAAGAACAAAAGCTGGGTTTGATGAGAGAACACTCCAAGGCTTGCGCTCACAAGTCTTTTGATTTGTTTAAAAAATCTTTAAGTCTTTTGATTTGTTAGCGATGTCAGAAGCTTAATAGAATGGAGGCTTGCACTCGTTTTTGGCTTTTGGAGAACCGTAGCCCCTTTTTTTGCAAGCATATCAGCCATCTCGTTCCCATAAATACCACCCATTGAAAAGATATATTGTGGGAAAGTTCTTTTATGACTTCCTGACACTGTTGAACACCTGTTCTTACACTCGTGGTAAGAGGAGATGGCCTGTTTTGCTGAAGTTAAATCAGACAGTACAAGAGCCCTCCTGAACGAGCTCTGTCTCAATGATAATTGTTGGAGAGCTACATTAGTGGCTTTCAGTTCTCCATCAAAGTGAGTGGAGTAAGCCCCTACAGGTAGGTAGAAACTGAAAAGCTTGCTAAAAACTCCAGCTCCAGCCTCTTGAATCCTATCGGTCTGAGAGCCATCCATATATACATGTATCCATTTCTCAGCCAGAAAACGTTGGTCAATTGTTTCCAAACCTATAGTTCTTATTAGCTCTATACTCATTTCCTTCTTATCAACTTTCATTTCCAGGTCCAGCCGCAAATCAAGCCCACCAGCGGCCGAGCGGTAAAGTCGCTGAAAACTGGTAGTTCGGTCCGAGGTTCGAATCCCGCGAACGGACTGGCTGCATGGGCGTTTTCGTGGTTTTCCCCATGTGTAACGTGTATACGAACCAGTTTCCCTTAGAAAGTCCTCCACGAAGGCATCCCTCCTCTTAGACAGATAGCCCTCGAAGCTTTGCCATAATCACACACACACACACACACCAGAGAAAGAATCCAACCGCAAATCAAGGAAGCTATAATCCAGCGAATTTAGCAAAAACAGCAGTGTCGGTTTCATTGTTCTTAAGTGATTGTATTGTTCTAGGCGAAAGACACACACACTGGAGAAAGCCATTTTATGCTAAAATGATTGTTTCTTCCATAACGAGGTATTTTGTTTAGTGCCAAAGTGAAATTACGAATCGAGACTCGCCACATGTTTTATTATACGCGAGGCAGGGAATCAAATGCGCATGCATAAAGCATATTAAAAAAAAATAATGATTAAAAAAAAGGTTGTTGGTGGCTTTGAGGTCCGGATTTTTGATCATTCCGTATTTTGGACGTCCGAATCTCGGAATTTGTTTTGTACTGTACTCTCTTCTATAATTTATTTATGAGCCTCCCTAAGTAAAATTTTAATAAAAACCTATCGATTTAATTATTTATCTTCTATCTCTCTTCCCCATAAGGTTTTCTGTAGATACCTATGTATAGTACATTTTGTGGAAATTTAATTGCAGTAATTAGGAAAGCCTTAACTTTTATCTATTACATAGACATGTATATTGTTACGGATTTCGTATTTAAATAGCTATATTTTTAAATAATTTCGTATTTAAATAGTTGAATTATAAATTAAATTGTTTTATTCCCCGTGCCGTGCAGCGCGTGACAAATATTAAAGGAAAGCTAAGCCGGAAAGTTAAAAAAAAAAAAAATACAACAACACGTGCATTTAACATTTAATAAATAAATATCTCTTTTTGATTTCGAGAAAGTTCCAAAAATCTCATAAAAAAAGGAAAACCTCTCAATTCGATGATTTTAATTAGTTTGTTGTTGTTTTAAGAGTTTGTTTAGCTCTAGTTGATTGTAGCGAATTCGCGGATTAGCTTTCTTTAGCTGTTTAGAATTAACTTCTGTTGAACGTTTGAGTAGTTAAAAGATAACTACTCTGAGATATTGTAATACTGAAAGAATATCTGAGGAAATTTAAGCATTTTTGTTGTGATAATAATAAATTTTATCCATTTTTCATCGGACTTGTGCATTCAACTCAAACGAACCCGTACCCACGCAACAATTTTTGGTGTCAGGAGTGGGATTTTGAATGCCATCAACTAGAGAAATGGAAGAACAGTTCAGACAATTGATGACGGCATTTGCTGCATTTAAAGAAGAGATGAAAGTCTCTTTTAAAGAAGAGATTAGATCCGTTAAAGAAGAAATGAAATTGGGTCAGAAAAAGGTGGAAACTGGCCAAGAATCAGTTAAAGAGAGATGAAGTGTGTTCAAGAAAAGATTGAAACAGGTCAAGAGGAAATCAAAAGAGAAATTACCTGTATAATAGAAAACAAATTTGATTCTATGGAAGGAAGAATAGACACTGTTGAAAATAAAGTTGGAGAAATTCAAGAAAGAGTTTCTTCTGTGAATCAAAAAATAGAAGATAAAGTTTCTGCTGTGCAGCAGCGAATCGAAGGAAGCATTTTGCCCGTCCAACGTCGAATCGAACAACAAATTGATGACAGGGTATCTGCAGTTGCCAAAGAAGTTGATAATTTAAAGAAATTTGTTGCGACGGCAGGGAGCAATTTGGAAGGCTTTAAATTTCTACCCATGCCTACTCACCCCTTTCTGAAACTATCTACATATGGTGGGAAGAGCTCCTGGCAAGTATATAAGACACAACTTTCTATACTGGCGGAAGCGAATGGATGGGATTCCCAAGCTAAGGCCTGTAACCTTGCTGCTTTTTTGAAAGCAGACGCAGCGGATATCCTTCAGACTCTTCCCGAAAACCAAAGGGTAGATTTCGAAGCTCTGTCCGGCGCATTTGAATTGCGGTTTGGAGAGAAATGTTTGAAAGACTACAGCACGCTTCAATTACAATCTCATCAACACAAGCCTACCGAAACACTTCAAGAGCTCGCCACAGATGTTGAAAGGCTGTCCCATCTCACGTTTTCGGAGTGCCGGACAGAAACAAGGGAAATCCTGTCCCTGCAGTACTTCATCGATGACATCCGGGACCCTGAAATGCAGAAAGCACTGCGAATGGCGCATATTAAAGATTTGAAAACTCTAGTGTACGCCATGAAATTCAAGCCAGCCCGGCAAGCCACTCGTAGAGACCGCCACCCAATCAGAACTGTACAAGTCCAAGAGCCAGGAGATGAAGTCACTGCTCATCTAGATGATTTAACTAGACAACTGAATGCCTTGAGATGGAATATTGGTGACAAGAAACCGACTGTAAAGTGCTGGAACTGCGGTGCTGAAGCACTCATACGACAAAACTGCATAACACTCCAGGGTACGGATGTTGAGACCATTTCCCAGCAATGACGGAGGAAACAAATGAATGACCATATCGGGGAATGGAGGTTGCCAGAGAATGAAAATCTTGTTTTAAAGCGCTCAAGCTTTCTACAGTGAGTGGCAACAGTAACGGAGTGTCCATCAATGGAGTTCCTTGCAATATGATCATTGACACAGGAGCTAATGTTACCATCATTCGGAGAGATTTAGCTCAACAGTTTAAAGATAAACTTATTTAGACGCCATCTTGTGTTACCTTTTAGACTGCATCTGGTGATAAGATCGACATAACTGGGAAGTTAAATGTGAACATCATGTTTGGAAGTGCCGCCTACCATCACACGGCATATGTGGCGGATATTACAGATCCATGTAGACTCAAATTGGACTTTTCAAGGAAATATAATTATTCCTTAGACTTCAAAAACAATAAGCTGTTCTCAGCATCTGAGGACATGACTATCCATCTTCAAAAGGGATCATCGCTTGGAAACGCCGACGTCTCATGTGAAAAACCCTACCCAGAAAGCTGTCGAAATCATACTAGGGTTGGAGAGAAACACCAGACTACCGGCTATTCTCCATCTGAGATGTTCTTCGGTCGTGATCTTCATCTGCCTTGTGATCTATTGTTTGTTCGGCCTCTGGATGCTCCTTCATTGTCTGAGGAATATATTCAAGATCTCCAGGCCCGGTTTGAAGTGATGCACAACTTTGCACAAGAGCGAGTCAACTTGGCGATGGAGAAGATGAAGGCCAGATACGACGTGAGAGCTACTGGATATAGATTCAAAGAAGGAGACAAGGTGTGGTTGAGGAACCCAATTCGACGAAAAGGACTCTATCCGAAATTACAATCACCTTGGGATGATCCGTACACAGTCCTAATCAGGCTGAATGACCTCGTGGTTCAGATCCGTAAGTCTTCGAACTCTGAACCTAAAGTGGTTCTTTACGACAGGTTAGGTTAGCTCATTACTATGGCCATAGTACGTAGTGTAAATACAGTCAAAAGTTATTAATCTGGATTCGTCGGGACTTTGGCGATTCCGGATTATCGATTTTTCCACATTATAGATCATCAGTTTAAATCTGGTAGGATGGTATGCAGAAATTATAAAATTAAAAATATGAAACCGTAATTTATGAAATAAAGAACAATTATGATCTAAAGGGTATCAAAATTTACAAAAAAAAAAGCTTAATATTTATTTGTTTACTTTATTAAACATTTCTTTCAATGTAAGTTGTTTAAGTTGCTTCGTTTTTTATGTGATAATACTTTCTCTTTAATTCTATAAACAGACATAATTTCTTGTTCAGTTACAAAGTTCCCTTGTTTAAGTCCTATAATTGCTGTGTCGAGAATACCGACTAATATGTCGATCGAAATTCTTTCGTTTTCGAAGAAAGTGACGTCACTTTCTTTGCTATCGGAAGTGAATTATAATGACGAGGAATTTGATTTAAATCATATCAAAGACGGAGTACATCGAGATGAAATACTACATTTAGTAAGGAATTATAAGCCAAATAAAATAAAAACATCTGCCCTGAAGATAAGGGTAGTGCGGACAGATCAACTTCCAGTTCATTGCGCGCCGCGACGTTCCCCCCCCCCACACACGCAGAGCAGCGTGAAATTGATAAACAGATTTCGGAATGGTTAGATAAACAAATCCATTATCCTTTATCCATTTTTTGCAACAATTCCACGTTTTGTTTAATGGACTTCGAAACATACTTTCGCTTTGTAGATCCTTTACATATTAGTAAATATATGTTGGAAATTCTATTTGACATAATCGAAAGTTCAAGCTCACTTTTATAAAATTGCTCTAACAGCCGGATCCAATTCGAAGATTAAGGAACAACGCAATCTGCAACATATATACATTACATACATACATTAAACGCGCATTCGTAAACATATTTTGCACATGCGCACATGCATATTCGCAGCCGTAAAGGTCTTGCACGCATGCGTCAACGCGACACATGCGCAGAAAGTTTGTAGCTTTGAGGTCCGGATTATGGGTGTCCGAATTAATGACTTTTGACTGTAATTATAAATAGTGTAAGACCATGGTCCTTTTTGTTTCAAAATGTGTATTTGATTTGTATTTTGTAATTGCATTTATGCCATAGTTGTAAGTTTGTTTTCCTGTCCAGGGATTGTACTGCCCGGGACGTGCAGTCCTTGGGAAGAGGGCAGTATTTGGTATTTAAATAGCTATTGCTAGTTGAATTATAAATTAAATTGTTTTATTCCCCATGCTGTGCAGCATGTGATGAATATTAAAGGAAAGCTAAGCCGGAAAGTTAAAAAATACAATGGCACGTGCATTTAACATTTAATAAATAAATATCTCTTTTTGATTTCGAGAAAGTTCCAGAAATTTCTCGCGCATGATTTAAAATCTTATAAAAGGAGGAAAACCTCTCAAATTGATGATTTTAGTTTGTTGTCGTTTTAAGTGTTTGTTTAAAAAACTTCTTTTGTTGACTGTATCGAATAGCTTACTTTAGCTGTTCTGAATTAACTTCTGTTGAACGTTTGAGTAGTTAAAATATAACTACTGTGAGATATTGTAATACTGAAAGAATATCTGAGGAAATTTAAGCATTTTTGTTGTGATAATAATAAATTTATCCATTTTTCATTGGACTTGTGCATTCAATTCAAATGAACCCATACGCACGCAACAATATTATACAAGCCTGTGTGATAGATAAAAGTTAGTATGAAGGAAAAAGAAAAGGAAATACTTCAACCAGAGCAAAATATTTAAGGTAGACTGCATAACTTTTGCAGTGTGAAGAGATATGGATGGCTGGAATTGTTTTTTTCGTTCCAGTCTTGTATTAATTCAGAAGTCAAACAATGAAGTCTTGTATGTTTTTCATTCGATAACATTTTCTTTGTTATATTTTATATGTTCATAAAAATCACTGTATAAATATTTGTACTTCTCTTTTAAGTTGAAAAGTCAACACCTGTAATTGTCACTTTTGTGGTGATCAAATATTTTTTATAATTAAAATAATAATTTTTATTGCAAAGCTTTAAATGTTGAGGATCTCATATTTTGCAGTTTCTGATTTCAGTATAATTATGAAATGTTTTTCTTAACTACCAATGTAAGGTCATTGTTTAATTTTTTTAGTAACTATCAGTTTTTATTTACTCTTATATATATATTTTTTAATTTAAAAATATTTCTGTGCCAGTTACTATAGCAAAATTGTTACTGGTGTGCAAAATAAGTAAAGTAAAATGAAAAAAATTGGTCAGTGTGGTGAAGCAATTAAAACATTAGTTAAAACTTGCATTATGAATGTACAGATTAACAGTGTGTATTTCTTAGCGTTTTTCTGTTCAATTTTGTGAACCCTCTAAAAAAATGTCAGCTATTCTAAATTCATTTTCTTATGTTTCTTAAAATTTGTCTTGTTTTTTTTTTTTTTTTTTTTTTTTTTTTTTTTTTTCCTAAGAGCATCTTGAATTTTGCTAGAAAGAAGCTGGAGTTATTGTTTCCTCCCCCTCCTGGGAAGGTGATAAAATTCTGACATTTTCCATGGAAAAAGCTGTGACAGCAATATGACCTCTTCTCCCGATTTTGTTCCAAGTAATTTTACTTTATTTTTAGGTAATTGTATCATGTCTAGTGGCCAGTGTCAGCAGTGTGGATCGACAGATATAGATACTGATCCTGCTCGTGGAGATTCTGTTTGTACACAGTGTGGTTCAGTCCTTGAAGAGGCTGGTATAGTTTCAGATGTACAGTATGCTCAAGATTCTAGAGGTATATCTCGAGCTGTTGGACAGTTTGTTAACTCTGAAGGTATATTTAATTTTTTTCACCTTTGAATGTATTTATTTTATAGATACTTAAAAATCAAGAATTAGTTTTATAAATGCCTTTCTATTTATCATAGTTTTATTAATATACAGGTGTAAGTGGGCAGGACGCTAGTATTTCATCATACGTTGTATAGACATAGTTCACTGCACTATCTGTGAAACCCCAGCCCCCAGTTTTTGGGGAAAACACCCTTTGAGATCTGGGGGTCTCTGACTCCTCTTCCTCTACCACAAATCACTAGAGAAGAATTTTGCTTATCAAGTACGTTATTATGGCTGACATGTCGCCTGAGCATGGAGTTTGCTAGTTAGGACTCCACATGATGGCGAACTGTACACTGTACTTTTTATTCCACCATTTCATTGACCCTATTAAGATAAAGGATTGTAAATAGTAAGATATTTAATATTTAGCAATGAAAAACAAAGAAAATTTCTTTACCTGAAGGAACATAAAGTATGTGCATATACAGGGTTCATATGGTCCTTAAATAATAATAATAATTAATAAACCTACTTACAAATGAGTTTTTGTATCTTTTCATGTAGTGGAAATTTTATGGCAATTTCTTTGAAAAGAAATTCAAAGTAGTTGTCCTCTTTAACGATTTTGTGACAAAATACTGTATTCCTGCAAAAATGTTAATAGTTTCTTATGCTGTAGGCAAATCCCACAGCATATTTAAAATCGAGTTTTAAGATGTAAAGTATCATGATTAGCCTATTAAAACTGTTGAAACTTAGAATACAACAAAAAGAACTTGAAAATGGTGACATTTATTCTTAAAACTGTGTCAAGTGCATTATTGCTTGAAGAGGTGTTATGTGCAGGTTTGCTAGATTTTGGTACATTCTTAAACTTTAGTAATTTCTGCTAAAGTGGTTGTGATGATATGCAAGTACCTTAAGTTTATTTATTAGCAATTAATTAGTAAAGTATTTTCATAAATGATTGCTGGCATTATATTAGGTACTTTCTGATTATCCACACCTCTGATTCAGATGAATTCAATTAGAATTGCTGTTTCTTTGGCATAGTTTGGAGTCAACATGCAACAATAACAATCCATGCACACATGTGTCAAACATGTATGCGAATGGTGTTTATTTGCAGGCTTTATATTTAATAAACATTTTGCTTAACAGTATCCATCACCTGCAAAAATACAAATAAAAGTCATGTAGATGCTCCTTTGTTTATTTCCCTTATAAAATTTCTTTTTTCTTATTGTTTCTTTAGAATGTTATTTATGAACAGAACAGTAGTGTTGAGTCGTAAGGATAGTCAAACAGTTTTATGAGAATTTTATAAATTTTTCATTGAATTGCTGATTTTTAATTGTGGTGTGGATAATAAAAAAAGTGCCATATATTTTAATATTTTTTTAATAATACCTTGAATTGAAATATGCAGATGGAAGACCTTATGGATTAAATAGTGTTCATGGTATGAGACTTGGACGACAATCACGTACTATTACATGTCAAAAAGGTAAGTAATATAGCTAAAAGAAGATAAAATTCAATATAATATTTGCTTTTAAGTGTTTGTGTAATGAAGATAGCTTTAAAGTTCTATTAATTTTACATTATTTCTAATAGCAGAATTAGCAATTTTTTTTAATTGCTGAGCTTGCGGTTTAATACTACAAGTCTGTCTTTTAGTGAATAATGTTTACAAATAGTACTAAAGGTTCTCATGATGTTAGTGACAGTTAAAGCTTTAAAATTTAGGCAGTTTTGTTTTATCTAATTTTAATATTGGTTTCTGGAATTACCTTTTTTGAAACTTTCCTGCCATAAATGCTTATTTTGGTAATATTTTCTTTTCTTATGAGGTTTTCAGAATTCATATAAATAGCTTTTGGTGTGTTTACAAAAATAATAATGTTTAAGGAAATACATTGTCATTCTTTCCATATATAGTACAAAGTCTTTAATCCGGAGTGATCTGTAATCCGGACCTGAAAGCTACAAACTTTCTGTGCATCCGTATAATACGTTTACGCATGCACATTTAATGTATAACGGACGGTATAAGCTAAGCTAAAATTATCTTATGAGGTTTTCAGAATTCATATAAATAGCTTTTGGTGTGCTTACAAAAATAATAATGTTTAAGGAAATACCTTGTCATTCTTTCCATATATAGTACAAAGTCTTTAATCCGGAGTGATCTGTAATCCGGACCGCTAAAATTATCTAATTATCTATTTCAGTTTATGTTGCAGATTGTGTTGTTCCTTAATCTTCTAATTGGATCCAACTTATTATTTTTTGTAGACTGTTAGAGCAATTTTATAAAAAATAAGCTTGAACTTTCGATTATGTTAAAAAGAGTTTCTGATTCTGGAGCTGCCAAAGGATCTACAAAGCGAAAGCATGTTTCGATGTACCACTTCTGATAGTGAAGAAAGTGGCAGAGAGGTTATTGAAAACAAAATATTTCGATTGACAAGTTAGTTGGTATTCTCGACACAGCAATTACAGGACTAGAACAGTGGAACTGAACAAGAAATTATGTCTGTTTATAGAATTAAAGAGAAAGTATTAGCACAAAAAAGGAAGAAAATTAAACAACTTACATTGGAAGAAATGTTTAATAACAAATAAATATTAAGCTTTTCTCTCTCTCTTATTTTTTTTTTTTTTTTTTTTTTTTTTTTTTTTTTTTGTAAATTTTGATACCTTTTAGATCATAATTGCTTTTCATTTCATAAATTATGGTTTCATATTTTAATTTTATAATTTCTGCATGCCACCTTACCAGATTTAAATTGATGATCTATTATCCGGAAAAAAAACCCTAATCCGGAATTGCCGAAGTCCCGATGAGTCCGGATTAAAGACTTTGTACTGTACTAGAATGTGAATAGGGTTGTAAAAAACATTTCACCTAATAATAAAGTATTGTAGAGAAGGGGCAGATTTTAGTAAACTTGATGCTGTTGCGATTCAGAGCCATTAAAAAGTGCATCAATTCTGTGCTTTTCATTTAGTCACTAATGCTGCAACACACAGTACATAATAACTTCTTTATAATGGATAATAGTTATGGCTAAAGATAAAGTAAAAAAATTTTGAAAAGAGTGCGGTTTGAATGTTTTCTCTGCTGATGGAAACATTTTATTATGCAAGCTATAAGAAAAATATGTTAACTTTAAGAAAGACTAACTTTTAAGATTTTGTTATTCAATGCTTTAAAATATCCAGACATAAATTCACAAAAGATAAAAGAACACTAAATCATGTTTTTTACATATTTTGAATTATCTGCGTGCAGAACTCAGTTTTCAAAGGATTTATCAGGGTTGCAACGCTACCTGGAAAACTGCAGTCCCCCCAAAAGCGATTTTTGAGCCAACGTCGGAAGCAAACACTTTCTTGGCAAATCATCTATCACGTTAGCATCATTTGGACAGCTGGCATAGAGCCAATTTTCACAGCGCCAATCAGATTGTCTTTTAGAAAGGCAAAGCAAGTTTTATCATCTTTGGTTTCTAGTAACCTCGAGAATCTAGAGATTCATGTGTGCATGTTGAATGAAAGCCTGTTCCCCCTATTCTCATATAAAACGAAATCATTTAAGCCTTTTTTCCTTTCTTATGCTTATTTGTCATTTTACACAGTAAAATAATAAAAAATAATAATCAGTCATCTAGGGTAACCATTTACTATATCTATATTCGCCAAAATACTATCTATATTCGTCGATTTTTTAAATTCAGTTTTTAATCCTTAAGTAATTTATTTTAATGTTATTCATATCATTTAATGTATCTTCTTCCTTCTAAATTCATATATTATTAGGTAATAATACATTAAAATTTCAGCAATTTTCTCTGGCATACTTGTGTAACTAGTTCTAGCAGTAAAATGTGATGTACCATCACAAAATTTAGTGCACATATTTTTTACTTATGTATGCTGCTAAATAAATATAAAATACTTGAACTTATTTTAAAATATCATTAACCTGCAAGTATGTACACTGGGTCTAATGGACCCGCATAATTAAACAAACCTTTCTCAATGCAAGCCTACTTTACACATATTGTTAAGGTTCAGTGTATTCATGTCTCAGGTCAACCTTTTTGTGTTTCCGAAGTTTATTAACTGGGGCTTTGATTCGGAGTCTTGATTTTGATCAAATTGGGACCCAACACGCCTATTCGTATTACTGCTCCATAGTTGATTTATGATAGTATAGAAAATGGCAAACATGTCACACAATTTATCTTACTAGGAAGAAATGTGGCAAAAGTTATTAAATGCATCAGCTGGCAAAGAATATATTCAAGAAAATGGGGATAGAAGTGATCATGAATTTTTAGTTCACATGATACTGATTTTTAGAAACTGATATAGATTCTGAAAATGACATAAATTGCTTTTTTGGAAAAAAATTAATGGAAACAATAATAATACAAAAAAGATACACAGTTAGCTCATTGAAAGAGCACAGCAAAATGAAAACACACTGCGCCGAATGTGAAAAATATTTGTATTTGGAACACATGACAACACTTTGTTCAATGTGCAGCTAACATTTGTTGTTGCATTTTTCCCTCTGTGTCTATATTGCTAATAAAGAAAATAAAGAATCGATACAGAGTAAAGTATACTATTTTCCCTATGTTATATAATAAGATTTTCTATTCCTTTAAGAAATTTTATTTCATAAAATCATTTAGAGAAATTAAATATTTGAATGTGCATATTTCTGAAGTTAGATCATAAAATTTATTATTGTCATAGATGTAACACCTTTTTCTGAAGATCTACCATTTGTTTTAAAAAAAACATGGGTTTTTTGGACCCAGTGTAACTCGTATGAGCTTATGTGCTCCTGGGTTAAATAGATCTCTTTTTTTTCCTTTAGCTGCAAAATGTCTGCAGAAAAGACAATTTTAAATCTCAATTGGGCAGATTCTAATCTCAGTCCTCCATGGAGAAAGCAATGGAGAAAGCAATTCCTAATATAGTTATAAGAGTAATGCTTTGGGATTATATACAGTATTCAGATTTTTATTACAATTTATAAACAACAAGAATCACAACTGAATAACTAAGTTTACGACTTTTACTTTTTAACTATATGAGCTGCAACTTAGAATGACATAAAAAAGCAGAATCTAAACTAAAACAAAAAATCATCGAAAACAACTACTTGTTGCCGTTGAACGGAAAAAATATAAATATCAATATTAACATTAAATTTAATTTCACAAAATAAAAATACTCCTGCAAGTACTTAAACTAAAGTACTTAATAAAGTACTTAAAACTAAAAATAATTATTATACTGTAACTGAGTTGCTACAGTGTCAACTCAATTTACACTTGTGTACAAAATTAAGAGAATTTGCACATAATGTAGAATTTCTGAAAAACTGGTGGAAAATTTGTTATGAATGTACATTTGTAACAGGGAAAGAGATTTACCATTCAGAAGTCATTTTATGTATGCATGATCATCAGTAAAGCTCGTTGTGAAGGGATATCCAAAATCCAAGTCGTGATATCAAACAGAAATGGAGTATAATATTGGGTATGGTCCCTTCTCACAGCCAGACAAGTCCTGCAGCATCATTACATACTGGACAGGAGGCAGTTGAGGAGTCCCTGTGGCAGTCAGTCCCACTACTGCAGTAAGTTAACTCTGGGATGGTAAGATGAAATTGACCTTCTAAGAGCATCCAGACATACTCTATAGGGTTAAGGTCAGAAGATCTGCTTGGCCAGTCCATGTAGCAAATTCCCTTACTTTCCTAGTCGATCAGCTTTTTGAACAAGCATTGTTCTCCATTAACAGGAACATAGAACCAACTGTGCCCCTCAGAAGTTGAATATAGGGCACTAAGGATCTGTGTATACGTTTTAGCAGTCAGGGAATCTTTATCAAATGCATGCAGGGATCTGCTGCTATCCAACATAGTGCTTGTCCAAACCATTAGACCTCCACCACTGTAATGATCCTTTTTCCTGACAAGGAAGTGGTGGTATCATGTTCCAGGTTTTCTCCATACACAGGTACACAGAGAATCAGTGTCCAGGCTGAATCTCAACTCATTTGTAAAAAGACAGTACTCCACTGAAGTTTGGTACAAGGTATATATTGTCTGTGCCATGTTAAATGCACTTTCTTTTGTGCTGCAGGGAGCAGGACACAAACAGCAGGTCTTCTGGCTTACAGCCATATGTCGTGAAGCCTTTGGCAATGGTAGACCATGAAACTCAGGTCCCAATGACAGCATACAGCTCTTATAAGGTCTATGAAGCTGTAGCAGTTCTATATTGCTGTACTGAAAGTGTTCATCATTGTGGATCTTGGTTGACCTTATTCAGGCCTTTTCAATAAGGATCCAGTGTCCTTAACCTGTTATCAGATATAGCAGATGACACTGAGCGTTACTTTGAGCTCCTTAGCCACCTATGCTTTTGATTGTCTTGCCGACAATCTACCAACAATTTTCCATCTTATTCCATCATCTCTATGTTCATGGCTACTCATTTTACCTAACCTTAAAAAATTTACCTAACTGTTGAAAGAAACAGAGTGAATGTCATGAAGGAGTACAAGCACACAAATCACCAAAAAATCCCTGTGTGCTTATATCCTCTCCACAACTGCAGTTCTGCAGACATACATGTATAAACTTATGTATTTGACTCTGAAAGTTTGCATAATTTTTGGGCAACATAATTAGTACCTTTGGTTAAATTTTTTTTGTAAAAATACACATAAATTGCAAATTCTTATAATTTTGCACACAAGTGTATTTATGGCTTCTTATTTATAAGTTTTCTCAAAGGGAAAAGTAAAAATTTAAACTGAGAAAAAAATCACTCCTAGAATATTGAAAATATGTTTTCAGGAAAGTTAAAGCATGTCGTACAGTTGGTTAAAGAATTAAATATTGTGTAGGTCGAGTAGGAAGATTTTTGTCTGTATCTCCAGTTCTACTTGAACTATCCTTATACTTCAAACATTAGTTTGCTTAGAATGAAAAGATCTACAACATAACACATGAAATATCACATTACTTTGAATTTAGGCCATACTTTTTATACAAATTCTTCAGAAGCAAAAGCTAGAATGCATCTTAAATTCAAAGTAAATATTTTAACATTTTGCTTTTGCTGATCTTCCATAGTCTCAGAAAGGTATCTATTAGAATCTAGAAGAAATTATCAAAAAGTCTTTAAAAAAAAACATATTGGATTACTTATTTGAATGACACTGAAGAGGATGAACTCTGATGCAGTAGTGAAGATGAGAATTCAAATTCTGAAAGTGAAGATATTGAACAAGCATTTAAAGATTCCTAATAAATTAGCTTTTTATATTTGTTTTATCACCTTAATTAAACAATTTCTCATTTTTTTAGTATCAGTTATGATGTTACTTTTATTTATTATTATTTTTTCTAGTTTTAAAATTCTATTGGCTTTTTGCTTTTTAAGAAATTGCATCTGATGTTAATTCCGAAACTGATCCCTCTGAGTTGAGCAATTTGGATATCTACTGTATAACACTATTGCTTCAGTTCTCACAAAATTGCTACAATTGTCATCAAGTGAGATTTAGGAGCAACCATATATTTATTAGCTTCGAAGTACAAAATGAATTTACATTCATTTTGAAATATTTTGGAAAATTTTCAGAAACAAGTGAATCTCTGGAAAATGAAATATTCTTTTATTGCAATTATAAAAATATTTTGGCAGTATTCTGTAAGACTATATAGATATGATTGATAAAACTGATGAAATTCAAGAAGAAATGGAAAAACAAGATCTTTGCAATTCAAGATTGAATCTGTTAATGATATTAAGAAGAATTTATAGAGATGATGCTGCACGAGCCTGGTTCCATTTCTGGAACCTTACTTAGCAATTTATAAGATTAACATCCAGTGTAAATTAAACATATTAATAATTCAGTGCAAAATATACTTTTATTTAGTTTCCACTTTAAAAAAACTTATTTGTCACCTTCTGAAAACATGCGTCCTAGGTGGCTGCTTTTGTCTATTGTGCTTTTAGCATACAAGTCTGATGCATTTCTGACACACTAGGTAATTAGTAAGATTTGCACCCATTATAAATTAGACATTAATAATTCAAAGCAAAATGTACCTTTATTTAGTTTTCTTATTCAAGAGAACCTTCTGAAAGTAGGCATCCTAGGTAACTGCTTTGGTCACCTATGTTTGGAGCCATTCCTGAAGCTTGTCTAAATTATCCATATCTATTATGGAAAGCTCTTTCAGATATGCAGACATTATCTTTGTTGAATCAGAAAGATCTTTTTCATAATTTAAAACAACATTGACTGACAGGAATAAGCATTAAACACTTGAAAATTGAAAAAGTGCATTTTGTTGTGATGCACTCTAAAAATGAATCATCCAAATAAATCTGCCCAAAATATCCTTATACAAGTTTTTCTTTTCAGATGTTTAATAATTCTTAAAACTATTTTAAATACCCTTTGCTCTGCCTGATTTTGCCATTTTCAGTGCCTGAACACACTAGGCTTAATCAAAATGTATCAACAGTGCTTTTTTATTAAATGATATTTGGAAGGAAATGTAATTTACAGCTTGAAATCTAATAATGTTAGTGTTAGTATTTAAAATATAAAGTATTATTAAATTTAGGTATTTAAGTAATCTCTCTTTGCATGGGTATTTGCATGCAAAGAGAGATTACTTAAATACCTATTACTAAAACATTACTAAAACATAATAATATTATGTTTTAGTAATCATTTAGAAGCTTTTGTAGTTTTTTTCATGTTTTATGATGTGGTAGATGTTGGAATTATGTTTTAGAAAATGTATGTACTAATATTTTATGAGAATCAAAGGCATAATAAAATCTGCAGTTATGAATAAATATCCTGAAATAATGTATTTTAATTTTATCTTTTTTGTAATTGTTTTTAATGTGTTTCTTAATAGTGTATTCATGCTCATATATTTTCTTGACAACATTTTAAAATCATAAACTTTGTAACTTTCAACTTACTGTTTTCTTTGACTTCCTTACTAAAAGGCACATGTTTTAGTCATTTATATATTTTAAAATTATTTCTTTCTTTTAGCAAGGCAAAGCATACAGGCTTTGGCATCAAAGCTGAGATTGAATACAAGGCAAGTTGAATCAGCATTTGCATTTTACAAATTAGCTCTGGCCAGACACTTGACTAAAGGTCGTAATAGTACACAGGTTATTGCTGCATGTGTTTATATGGTGTGTCGAAAAGATGGAACAGAACGTATCCTTTTCAAATTACCATTTATCTCTGTTTGCCATTTACACAATGTGCTCAAAATTTCTCAGATTTTGCTTAACAGTTTTTAGAACATTTCCTATTTTTAGTGGTTTAAAAAAATTAATTTATGACAAAAAATAAAACTTAGGCTCTATTAACAAGAGTTGGTTTCTAAATTAAAATGTATGCTAAATTATTTTAAAAGCTCATGCTGTATTTTCATGAGTGGTAGAAACATAACAGCAGGACAGTACTTGTGTTTATTTCATTCTGTATGGTATATCACTGGATTCACTGGATTGATAGGAATATCGGGATTTACTTTATGAGTCATTAAATGAAAGAGATTTGTACATGAGAGGTCCTAGTCAAAATGAGTTAAGTTTCATTTGTGCTAACTTTTTTAGGAAAGATTCGGAAAAAATGTTTCTAGAATTATAAAAGAAAACAGTAAGTTTAAATTGGCAAAAAATACTTCTAATTGGAATTACTAATTGAAGTAGAACAACATCTTTGGAGCAACAACATCATGATCTCCTAATAACAACAAATACTCACTGTTGCCAGAACTTTTTAACTAAATTGTATATTACGAAATGTACAGGCGCTGTAAGATGGCTACCCCGCAAAGCAGTTTAAGGGTTGCCATAAAATGGCAAGGGAAGGCAGGGTTGCCACATTTGGTGAAAAATCATCCCATTTAGCAACAAAATTGGCGATATACCATGGACATGGACGGATGGAGAACCTTCTAGAATGAATTCTTACCGGTATAGCTCAGAATGTTCTCGAACACAAGCCGAAAGCTATATAAACCCTGCTGGTCGGCAGTCAATTAAGTGTGTGTGCCTCGCCTAGAGGGCGAGTGAGTGTGTCTCGTCTAGAGTGCGAGTGTCTCATCTAGTTAGTCCGTGCGGAGACGATCAAGTTGACAGATGGCCGCCGAGTGGGTCATCGAGTGCACTGAAGGAGTCTCTTAGTGCATCGTTGAGAGAGCGTGTTGAGCTCCGGGAACGACGGTTCAGTTGTTCCCGGAGTCGGGAGCTCTGCTCTGTGTGTCGAGTGCAGCGTGGAGAGTCTCGAGAGTACGTGGAGTTCCGAGAACGACCAAGCAGAGTCGGGAGCTGATTTCTGGTGCTTTGCAGTGAAGCTGTCTCCACCATGATAGCTTGATAACCTGAAGGCTGTGTCGCTGATTGTTCCAGCGAGTGTTTATAACAGGGTTGCCACACTACCTGGAAAACCGGGAGAACCGGGAAAAGTCAGGGAATTCGAAAATTGACCAAAATATTCAGGGAAAAGTCAGGGAATTTAAGTATTTTTGTCAAAATCTGGAAAAGTCAGGGAAGTTCATACAACGATCCCGCCAAAAAAAGCGATTTTTGCGCCGACGTCGGAAGAGGTAACTTTTTTGGCGAATTATGTATCACGTGAGTGTCATTCGGGTAGCTGGCATAGAGCCAATTTTCACAGCTCCAATTTGATTGTCTTTTAGAAAGGCAAAGCAACTTTCTCGCAACTTTTGGTTTCCAATATTCTCGAGAATCGCATGTGCAGTGCATGAACTAAAGAATGTACCCGTTCTCGTATAAAACAAAATGGGTTTAATCCTAGTATACGGTACCATGGAGGTTAGAATCAAAGAATATGTATTGTAAAGAAGGAAAACCTCTCTGCAACAGACATGGCTGTGGCTCCGTTCCATCATAGAGGGAAAACAGCTGTGCATGTCTGATATATCTGTTGCCAAAGCTCGAAACCGGTATCGAAGTTCGAAGGTCACGTTATCAAGAGTTCATAAAATGAATATCATTTAAAATTTCTTTAACCACTTGCGCTAAAAAGACGTGCCACGCACGTCAAGCTGCTTTTGTCTCAAACCGCGAGCTACGTGCACATCGATAAGCATTTATCGCAAAAATGAAAATAACGTGGTGCACACGTCGCCTAACAACAGGATTGTTTATTTCTCGAGTTACAGCTCTGGATTGCACTCTCAGATGCGGAGCGGCGTAAAATGAGACACTTTACCGCTTGTTATATTGTAGCGCACGGCACCGCAACCGTGAAGTTTAGTCTTAGCGCAAGTGGTTAAACTCTAAAGGAAAAGAAAATATTTTTTGGCGCAAGTAAATTAATTCATGGATTAGTTATTTTCAGGGAAAAAAAAAAAAACTACGAAAATCCGTTTTTAAAATTATTGCGAAAAATCCAAGAAGAAACGTCCTTTGATAAAACGTTTCTTCTTGGATTTTTCGCAATAATTTAAAATCTGAAACGGATTTTCAGATTTTAGTTTTTTTTTGTCAAAGAGCGTTTTCTTCTTAACACGCGTTTCCTCAATTTCCTGTACACATCGCGGAGAGGGAAATTCTGGCCGCCAGGTTCCGTCGCCAAATCCCCTTGGCAAATTTTCCCTCCGCATTCTAGCGGCGTAATAGCATTTACTTGTATGGAACCTTTTCTTCTTTACATAGACGTTCTTTGGTTAGAATAACCTAATAATGGGATTAACCTCCAGGTACGCGTACACACAAGATTTGGTGTCATTTGATGCGCAGTAAACGGGTCATTTTGGTCCTTGGCGACAATTTTCAAAATCGTGCGAAAGCCTTACCGTATACTAGAATTTTACCGCAAAATCTTTTTAAACCTTTTTTTTTTTTTTTTTTTAAATAAATGCCCTTGCCATTTTGCAGTAAAATAAAAAAAATAGTAATCAGTCATCTAGGCTAGCCATGTAATATAACTATATTCGCTAAAATATCGTTGATTATTCTAATTCAATTTTTAAGTAATTATCTTTTTTTATGTTATTCATATAATTTAATGTTTGCTTCTTTCCTCTAAATTTATTTATTATTTAGTAAATAATATTTCCAAATTTCAGGAAATTTTCTCTGGCATAATCCTGAAATTAATTATAGCAGTATGATGACATACCATCACGAAATTTAATGCACATATTTTTTCCTTATGTATGCTGCGAAATAAATATAAAATACCTCAGTTTATTAAAATAGATTTCTTTCTTTCGTTTAGCTGCAGAATGTCTGCAAAAAAAAAAAAAAAAAAAAAAAAGCCTTACTTTATTCCAGATTGGGAGGATTCTAATCTCAATCTTCAGTGGAGAAAACAACAACTATTATAATTATATTTGTGTTTTCAAGTGTTAAGGTGCCTTTTAAGAACATACCTCACGCAAATTAAATTTGCCTAAAATCTAACCTAACTATTTAGCATTGCATTGTGATTTATAAGGACCAGATTAGCCTCGTGTTGAACTGGTGATGATCATGAGTAATAATTAAATAAAACATACATTTGTTATCCAATATATATATCTTAAATTTTATTAAGTTTCTTAAGTGGAAAACTAAACAAAATTATCAAACAAAGTATACCAAGAATAATTAAGAATAAATGTCCTCTGGGATTTATTGAATAATTAAGTGAATTTGCTACACAATACAAGTAATACCATAATTAATTTACCTCTTAGCACACCCAACGTACATTACGCGGATAGATTGGAATTTTCTTGAAACACACCTGGAAAACCTGGAAAAGTCAGGGAACTTCATTCTCCTGTTTGAGTGGCAACCCTGTTATAATAGATCTTCGATGACTGTAAAAGTGACTTTGGAGCTGTCCTGATTAAATATTGGCCCAATAAAGTGTGTTTCGATACTTCATCAAGTGTCGTCATTATTCACTCAAAATCTACGAACATGAAGGAAGAAAATAATATAACAACTGGTGTCGGAAAAAGTAAAACGCAACAATATTATTATTATTTGCTTTCTTTTTAATACTTTTAACACTTCCCCTTATCAGTAAAGAAAAATAATGATAATAATAATAAATTAGGAGGGAAATGTCATTTGAGTCCCATCTTATCACAAAGAATCAACATTCTAAGTTTAAACAGAAGTTTAGTCATTATGTCAGCAACTTGCTCCTTTGTAGGTATCTGCTGCAGATTGATTTGCTTTTCTAGAATTTTTGTATGAAAAAGTGCTTGATATCAGTTTGTTTTGTATGTTGATGGAACTCAGGATTTTGTGACAATCTTACTGCAGCAGTGTTATCTACTTGATTTACTGGAACTTTATATAACTTGATAACATCCCTAAATAATTGCTTTAACATATACTTCTGTAGAACATTCACTGGCTGCAATTACTTCTGCTTCAGTTGTCTGCAACAATTGACTGTCTTTGGCTAATCCATGATATAACTCCACTACTATATCATATCTCTGCTCCACTTGTAGATTTTCCTGTTTCTTGACATCCTTCAAAATCTGCATTGCTATAGGATTCCAGTATACCTGTATTACACCTTTATTTTTGTATGTAACACCTTTAGTAAGAGAACATACTATCTATGTAAGCTAAATCTAGTCTCTTACGTAACATGCATTAAAGCTCAATAAAGAAGCTTCTCTATAAGGGGAAATTTCTGTGTTTGACTTATCTTCTTTTTTCTTTTCTGTTAAACTTTCCTTCAGGATACGAGTTAGCACTGGTTTGCAATCTTCATTCCAAAGATTTTGAAGTTTTTTTTTTTTTTTTTTTTTTTTTTTTTATATATATTATATATATATATAAGGTTTTTGACTAATTTTGATATTTCCTTCTTCAAGATGCATAATTTCAAGTCCAAGAAAGTATACTGCTGGTTTAGTTGTGGTTCAGAATCTCGACTTCAGTTTTCGGAGAAATTTTTCAGATTCTGGCAGATCTGTTGACGCTACCAAACTGTCATCTATGTATAGATATATCATCTATCTATGCATAGATGTTTTAATTGAGGTTTGTTTTTAATCAAGAGTCAAGCCTTCTACTGATGATTTGGAACAAACCAAACATCTTTTAAGTAGATTTTTGGATTTTATTACCAATAGTTGTCTTGACACACACTCTGCCTTTACCAAGAACAACTATTCTTTTCAAGCACCCTTGATGCTAGAGGGACTATGAAACTTCACGAAATTAATACAATATGTGGAACAGTTCATGACATGTCTTGTAGCAACACTATCAATCCAGAATTATGTTGGGTCAGTCTCAGATATGCAGGCTTCTTCGTGAATAGACATCAGTATTACACTGCCTATATTTTCTTGAATGGTTTGTATTGACCTTTTCTTGGGTGGCCATCCATCAGCAGTCCACTGTTTTCATTCTTTTATCTAGTGTACTTTCTGCTTGCAATAATTTCAGACATCTTTTTGTGGGTTTTTTTTTTTTTTTTTTTTTTCTGAATTTTCTTTTTATATATTGCTTTCGGATTTTGACATTCATTTTGATATTCGGTTTTTGACATTGCTAAGCATTTTGTTCATTTGTATTTCCTTTCTTGTGACTTTTTCATGACTTCATTTGTATTTCCTTTCTCGTGAATTCTCTTTTGAAGCAAAGCTGTGATCTTAGCTCATGAACTGTTTGCTTATCTTCATCTAAGAGTAACCAGCCTGATTTAAATGAATGGTATTGTTTGGCTAAAACATTTAAAATCTTGCAATTGAGTAGCATGTCAGGTAACTTATTTTCATTTTTCTTTTCAAGTCCTGAATTCAACTCATGCCATAAATTTTTTAATTTGGAAAGATGAGCTGCAACATTATCATTATCATTCCACTTTAACTGAAAAAAACTGTATGCATATATTGTACAGTTGATTTTCTGATGAGGCTTCAAATACCTTATGTAATTCCAGCCACATTTCTCTAGCTGTCTGAAATCTTATAATCTTTTGAAGAGTTTCTTCTGCCATAGAATTTGTTAAAATCATCATAGCATTTATATTTGGATTTTGAAACTTCTTAACAGCTTCGTTATTATTCTGTCTATGAGCAACTGGAAGATTTCGTGGTTTCACTAAAGCTCCTTCCACAATTTATAAGGGATCAAGAACGATAGCTTAAAATAAATTTTATCCTATATTTCCATACAAGCCAGTCGCTTTCACCTGCCAAAGACTTTACCTGGATCTTAGCTAATTCCATAATTTGATTTTTAAACCACTTTTGATCTCCAAGATAAAAATGAAAGATTAGATTACGCTTAATTTTGTTTTACTTTTATCAATTAAAAACACTTGACGCAGTATTTGATCTTGACCCATAATCCTAAAAAACTTCTAGAACTAAAAAGCAAAATAGCAGAGCAAAAAATAGTAAGTTTTAATTGGAATTACTAACTAAATAGTAAAACGACATCCTTGGAACAACAGAATCGTGGAACTTGATTTCCTAATCAATGTGATTTATGATTCAAATGTGATATTTCATAATAAAACAACAAATACTCACTGTTGTTAGAGAACTTATTAACTAAACTGTATATAATTATTATTAACTTTTTTAATAACATACTTTAACAAGAATGAGTATTGGAAGGCTGAATGAAATACTAATATTTTATGTGCTAAACTACACATAAATTCATACTTCTAACAGTAGCTAAATTAAAAAATATATTATAATTTATAAAACTGAATTATAAAATGCTTCTGTCTGTTATAATTTGCATTACACTAGACACTGTAGTGAGAAACCAGGCAATAAATATTCCTGTTGCTGATGCATATATGCGAAAAATTATTTTTGCTACACTGAATACAAAACCTAAATTTTAAACTTACTCTTTTTAAACCATAGGCTGTATTAATTTCATAACTATAATTCTGAAATTAAATTTTTGTTTTAGAGAATTTTGTCTGTGAGCTAAATTATATTTTGGAACTACACTGATATGCGCCCTCAAGTCACCAAATTTCTCGCCAAACATTTTTGGTGAGAAACTCCATGCAGCCAGATTGCTATCTAAATTTTTTGTGTACATTTCGAACTTTAAGCCTAAAATGTCTCCAGAAACACGGTTTTCGCAAACGCAAAAACCACGTTTTGAACGTACAGTTTAAGGGTTTAATCCTAGTATCCGGTGCACACGGGGTTTGGCTACTTTTGGCGACTTTATGATGAGCAGTAAAAACGCGACATATACGATGAGTAGTAAACAGGTCATTCAAAGAATATATATGGTTATACATAGTGTATACTATATATATAGTGTATATACATGGTATATACACTATATACTATATATATAGTGTATATACTATGTATATACACATATAGTATATAGTGTATATTATATATATAGACGTTCTTTGTATCATTTTTTGTGTTGGCGATAATTTTCAAAATCACGCCAAGGCTGCACTGTATACTAGGATTTTACTCAATTTAAGCTAAAAATCCGAAACAGAAACAAAAAATTTAGATAGCAAAACCATAAATTTCTAACCAAAATTATTTGACAAGAGTCCATGTACACAGCGATATGTTTTAACTTAAAAAAACATCTACGAATGGCACAATTTAGGCAACAAACGAATCTGCGAACTACGCACACCTCACTTTAATAAATTAACATAACAACAATAAATTTCAAAGAATACCATGTACACAGCGTCCTGTTTCAACTTTAAAAAACATCTACGAATTGCGCAATTTAGACGGTACACACTAATCAACAAAATAACTAAAATAAATTTCAAACAATTAAAAAAAACTACAATAACGACAGAAATTCATACTAAAAAAAACAATGAACATAACATTCTACAAAATAAGGAAAAGAATAAAATAAAATGCACTTACCATGAATTAATGCTTTTTCAAACAGCAGAAATACCAATTTCGTACCGCCTTTAACATGCCACCACGTAATCACTATCGTATTTATATGACAGCCAGACACACTATCCAGAAAATTCATACTATGGGTCACAAATAAATAAAATAACAAATAATCACAAATCCTTACTTCTATCATATACAGCCACTAAAAATAATCTCCCCAGACCCTCATTCCACGCCTCCAAATACCCACTGCCCCTCAACCAAAGAATCTCTCAACAGGATGGCCACGATGATATTTCCTTTTGCCGAACTTCAATTCAACAACTTCCACCATTTTATCTTTCCCCCCTAGCTTCTCATACACAGAGCATGATGCGAACCAGCGAACGATTTTTCAACATCAACAAGGTTGCCATACAACACGCAATCGTGCCAAAAACCAGTGCAGAACACATATCGCCACATTTGGTGAAATTAGGGCGTATATCAGAGTTGTACCTGTATTTCTTTTAACTTAATTATTAACTTAATATTTTTACTTTCATGCATGTAAATTATTCTCTGTAGTAAGGAATAATAAAAAATTATGTTAGTTTTATATTTCTCTAACTGAATTTTTCTTAACAAAATTTTAGATATGTTGTTAGACTTTAGTGATGTCCTTCAGGTAACATAATAAGATAAAACTGTATTTTTCCCTCTTTGTGAAATTGCAGTATGTTTTTTTTTTTTTTTTTTTTTAATTTTTAAATTAAATTATTTACTTTTTATAGATAAGTGTGTACGAGTTGGGCAAAACGTATCTTAAACTTACTACAGCTTTACATATCAAAGCTCCAGTTTTAGGTATTTTACTTGTTACTTTTTGCTGCTGTTTTACTCCATATATATTTTGCATTAAATTTTATGATGTGTTTTTGCTTTTAATTATGCACATTGTTTTAAATAATTCTAAACTTTTATTTAAAAGTAGTTTGCAATTTGAGTTCATCATCTGATAAAAACTTTAGGTTGAAAGCGCATGAAAACCCGTGCAATATTGAAATTGTTTTGTGAATTTATCATTTAGAACCAATGAAATTGTTAGAATTTAAAATTTTGTTCCTGACATTTGTTCTTTTCCATGTGTTATCTTTTGTATGCTCTCAGAGTTGTGTAGTAAGCTTAACTGGCATTTTGTTTTATTTAAATTTATAGCACTTATTTTATTTAATTAATAAAAAAAAAACTCAGTGGCATAACAGCCCTAATAGGCCAAAGCCTGCAATGCTCGAAATCTGCTTTCTTGACCGTGGGCCCTGGGGTGCGTAAGCATATGCCCTGAACAAGTGGTAAACTTGTCGCAGGACACCCCCCACCTCCCGTGTTTAATTCCCAAGCGAGCTTGGTGCTCATTTTATCAACACAAGTGATCGAAATCAAGGGATGAAAGGCTGAGTCGACCTCAGCCGGAATCGAACCCCGTACGAACCCCCGGGAATCGAACCCCGTACGCATATAAGCATTCTGTACCACACCATGTGCATAGGGAAAAATTCGTACTTGTAATTGGACATACTTTCTGATGAAATCATTTTCTTTTGGTGTAATGACATTTAGGCAGAATTCTTACAGTTTTAGTTTCGTTGAATGACGTGCATGAGTGATACGGAATCCTGAACATTATTATTTGTACTCTTTGAATAATAATGCCAGACATAAAAATTGACATGCGGATGACATCTTGTTTATGGAATAATAAAATTATAAATTCCTTCAAAGATGCTGTTAATATCAGAAGCAATCTCAAATGCTTAGATTATGTAAACTGAGTTCATAAATTTAGTGCAAAGCACATTAGATTACACAGCAATCCTGACTCAGATATAAAGGCGTATGTGCTAGTAAGTATATTATGATTGAAATTCTGTCGCATTCAGTTCCTTTCACATTGCAGAAAATATTCTCTTTGCAACTGTATATGTTATTTCCATGTTAATATCCACGTCTTTCACACTTCCAATATTTCGTTGCCTTTAAATGAAAGAAAAAAAATGCATTCGGTATATTCGTTGAATACACGTATATAAAAAACTTTCTTCTCTGATAAACACTATTTTTATGCAAAGGTACAAATATATAATACATTAAAAAATGGGCAGTATTCATAAAGCACAGATTTATGGGAAATATTCATTTTTTGCACAGTATCTCTATTTCTGTGTTCCAAATCTATAGTAGTCTAACTTCAAAAATAAATTTTCCTTTTTCAGACTGACTACAAATATCGTGAAATTACTGTGTTTAATGTTTTAATGTTAGCTCCCGATTTGTCTCTTGTTTTCGGAGATTGTATCTACAAAGAATCTATATTAAATGAACATGAATCAATAAATTAATGATCACAAAACCTTTAATATGAAAGCTTTTAAATTAAGAATACATTTATTAAAATCCTCTGCATCAAATAATATTAATACACATTGACGGAATTAGCGGTACTGATTTTCTTCTCTATGAAAAAGAAAAAGCACTATATTTTTTATATTAAATTCATCATACTACAGTGTTGTAATAAGAGTAATCCACAATAAAAATTCAACGCATGTCATTAACGATAATAATCTTTTTGGTACTGCTATCAAAATGTAAATAAACGTATGAAGATGTATTTTTTAGCCCAAGCGATGTCAAGGCGTTCCTAAGCGTAGAGAAAATGATATCATCGGAAGTCGTATCCAATCAAGGGGATGGATTTTCCCTATGCGCGTGGTGCGGTACAGAATGCTTATATGCACCCTGGACCTGTGGTGCTGCTGCGTGATGCGCTAGCCACTGCGCCACCAGGCCTTAATTAATAAGAAGGGAGAATGTTAAATACATTGTTTGATTAATTTCACTGTGTAAAGATTACATGTAATTTTTTTTTTTTAAACACCGGATTGTAATAAGTGTAGTTTTTCCTAGCTTAACAAAGTTCCATTCAGAGAAGGACTTATGTTTTAAGAATAATTTCTTGCCTGATATTGGACTTAAAAATTGAAATTATTATTTTTTTCTGTGTGGTATTTCTTCACAATAGGTCTAAAAATTTTAGTTTTAAGCTGCAATTAAAATTTTGCTTTTCAATCAGTTAGAAAAAGAGATAATTGCATTTAATTATATTTTAATGCTAAAATTTAGATTTCACCAAGGCCCAAATTGTTGTAACACTTTCAATTTAAATTTTGGAATAGTATTTCTTTACAGTACATTTTTTTCTTACATTCCAATGAAACATGCATTAAATTTATTTAAAAAAGGAATGTAATAATTATGCTCCATATTATAAAATAATAGGGAACAAAATGTCATATTTCTAGGCAAGTTTTGATTCAAAGAACAAGTTTACAAAAAAAAAAAAAAAATCTTGGAAAATAAAACTGCAGTAAAATTACTACCCTAGTTATGACTAATCACATGATGACATATAATTTGTTTATGTGTACTTTACTAGAATGTTTTCTACTTTTGGAATAGTGACATGTTCATTTATGTATTTGTATTTAGGCTAGGTTATAGCTGTGAGGTTTCAAAATTCAAATTCTTTGAATATCTTCTGTGAATGCATTGCTAACAGTCCATGGTTCTTAATGGAATCTAATATGCATGATGATCTTAAAACTTAAAAAATGAATAAACATTTTGAGAGAATTACAGAAAACAATTTACATAAAAGCAAAGTTAATTAAGAGCCTGCTTTTATTATGTACTGTTGCAACTATAATACAGTACAAAGTCTGAGATCTGGACTATCAGATTTTCGGTGATTCTGGATTTGGGATTTTCCTGGATATTAGATCCTCAGGTTAAAACTTATAAGATGGCATGTAGAAATTATGAAATTAAAAATATGAAATCTTGATTTATGAAATAATGAAGCATTTATGATCTAAAGGTAACAAAATTTATATATAAAAAAGCTTAATATTTATATGTTTATTTTATTAAACCTTTCTTTCAATGCAAGTTGTTAAAGTTGCTTTTTTTGTGCTAATATTTTTTCTTTAATTCTGTAGACAGACATAATTTCATATGCAGTTACAAAGTTCCATTGTTCAAGTCCTAATTGCTGTGTCAAAAATTCTGACTAACTTGTCAATAGAAATTTTTTCATTTTCAATAACTTCTCTGTTGCTTTCTTCACTGTCGGTAGCGGTATTTTCTGGATCTAGAACCATGCAGCTGAAGCTTTTTCACCTGAAATTCTTAATTGCCTTATACCATGGGGATTTTTAAATTTGGTTAACCAACCTGTCAAATATGTGCACTATGTCATATGTGTCAAATATGTGCACTTCATTTTTAAGTTCATTTCTTAATGAAATGTTTTAGCTTGAGCCATTAGCATTTGACCTGTCAATGCCACGCCCTCACTACGATGCTGTATGACCCATTCAGTCATCACTTTGTCATGATCTTAACTTTTAGCATAATGAATAATTTTTCTGTTATTCATTGCAATATCGGAATCATAAAAAAATTCAAAAAGTTCATTTTTCTGTTTTTTCATGTCATATATAATTAATTTTCCAATGTCATACTCCTCGCATAATTTTGAACGGATATACCTTTATCCATATTTTTTACAGCAATTCTATTTTTTGTTTAATGGACAACAAAATATGCTTTCACTTTGTAGATCCTGTTACAGCTCCAGAATTAGAAACTTTTCAACATAATCAAAATTGAAACTTTAATTTTCGTAAAATTGCTGTAATAAAAACAGCCTATGAAAAATAATTAAGCTGGATCAAATCAGAAAGTTATATATTGACTGAAATTCCTTGGAATCGGTAAAGTATAATTTTAGCCTAACTTAACAACGTTTGCTATACATTATTGGCTATATAGCATGAGGTTGGTGACGAAAGGCAAATTCTTCCACTAAATTTGGTCTTGCTTCTGTTGCTTACTGAGACAATTAAGCCTGAACTGTATTAGTTTAGCTATTTGTCATACTTATGTCTATTTTTTGCGCATGCTTAAGGCTTATGTGGGTCCTGAATAAATAAATTCCCACATATACTGAAGTTGTATTAAGAGCCGGCGCTAGATATCTTACCGCCTGATGCAGTCTCTGGTGAGTCCTGAATTCTGCTACCAAGTGCCTCCCTAAGTTCTAAAGTTTTGCTGTCCCTTAAATTTTGGATCTCAGTCCTTTCCCTAAATTCCAAAAATATTTTCATCCCTTAATTTTGTTGCTCAGTGCTTCTCTAAATTCCAAAAATCTTGTCATTCCTAAATTCTGCTGGATGGTGCGGCTGTTGAACTCAGGCACCGGTTCTGGGTTTATGTGAAAAAAACAAATCAGGTATTCTTAATTCAAATAGCACTAAATGTAATCTTATCTTTTGGTCTAGGCCTATGAGTATCATTAACAAAATTGTATTTTTAGCATATGGAAAAAAAATTTTGTTCAATTTTTCCTCATCAACATTCTTAACGCATTTAACTTAAATCTGTAATCATTGCCAAGTGTAATGTTCATCATAAAAGGTTACCATACTCTTTGTTACTAAATTTCTAATTAAAGAAAATTGTTTGGGCATCGCTGCATGTGTCATTACTCAAGTTGTCATGTGTTGATGAACATGCAGTGATGAAAGCAAAATATAATAAATAATGATTCTCTAGGTTGTTCGTCAGGGATATAAAATATTAGTAGGTGTAGAATCAACGATGTTTCTATTTTTAATGTTTCAGTTTGAGATGTATTCCAAGTAGAAACGCAGCTACGAAGCCAAAATATTGATCACACAAATCTATGCTAAATTATTGTTTTAACAATGAGGTATTTATTTAGTGCTGAAGGAAAATTGAGGATT